GGGGTTGGATGAACCCCGCGGCGGGGGTCCGGGGTCCGCAGCCTAACACCGGCTTTGCCCCCGGGGTTCCCCGCTCGACAACGCTGCTTGGCGCCTTCAATCATTGAGGTGGCAGCCCATTATCCGACAGATAGAGCCGCAAGCTCGCTTCTACTCGATAGTTCGTCAATCAGGCAGGTGAATCTGAATGTACCCACCTGCTTGGATGCCGAGGCATGCACCCACTTGTGCATGCCAGCCAATCATAGAGCTTCAACCGCGCGGCCGCTCACCCACTACCCCGTCTTAACTCATCATGTCTAAGCGCAGAGTTACTTGCGACTCCGACTGGCCGGGTAGGCCTCCCATTCTGCAGGTATGCTACCTCGCATCAACCTTCACTGCTACGTTCAATAAGGTGAGCAAAATCAATTGGGTCCGTCGCTAGATTATAGTTGGGTGCATCCCTCAATACAAGCTGCGCACAACCAACAAGTCAATCTCCAACCCCGCGACATGCCTTCTCCACTACGTCGGTCGTCAGGTGAGTGCCCCGTTCATCAACGAGTAAGTCCTTAACGGCGTGGCTAGCTTTCCGCTACTGTTTCCGATAGTTGAGCAAAAACCAAGTGGATCTACCACCATCGCCAGGACGAATACGCCATTATCGTGTGAACGTGCATGGGAAAGAGAGAGTTCCCCACCGGCTGGATTGGTAACGCGTCGTCCCATAGGTAAGCCTCCTACCCCGTGACCGGCCTCAAGTTACCTCCGACGATAGGATGAGCAAAGACAACTGAATATGCCTGCAGGACACGGGCAGGTGCATCCGCTGCTACAACGGGTCCCGTGAGCAATACCTGAATCGAGCTCAATCGCCTCATCTCCAAGGAAGGTGATCGGGGAAGCAAAAGAAGACTTGCGATAGTGGACCACGTTCCGCCACCCTCGAAATGTACAAAACGAGAGTGAAACCGCCGCTAGATCACGAGAAGATACCTTCGCTACTAATCGTCCGGCCCCCTTCAGGTGAGTTCTCCGTCTTCCCCGACACGTGCTTCCTGTTTACTCCCTTAAGCACTCCTTCCTCGTTCAATCCAACTACGTCATCGTATTCGTCTGGGTCCGAACCTCTCATTCAGCACTCCTCCCTGGCCGGATCCGACGAGAGACGAGTGAGTTGCCGATTCTCCCCTCCGCCATATCCACGTGCTCCGACAGCTCCGCACTATGCTTTTCTTACCAACGTCCTAACTAACTAACCTGTTGCGACTTCTAACCCCACCATCACCTTCGCCCAACCCAAAAACACTAATTCGCCAACTTTAGTTTTCCGTTTTCGTCCACCAACGGGTAAGAACGGCCGTTGCCTATACCCCTCCCTATTCACTCGTCGTTCCCGCCATAGCTCCGCGCGGTGCCTTCCTCTACTAACTCTCGTTTGACTAACTTTCATCCAAATCTAAAGTCAGATCCCGGGTTGCCATACTCTGAGGCCCCAAAGTCGACCTTTACTTCGCCTGAATCCGCTCTGGGCCGGACGAGTTCTTACTCTTCTCTCCACCCATGCTCGTCTTCTCCCTCTCCGCCTTCTTGCGAATGAACCTCGACGCGACCCCCGTCCAGGTTCGTCCCCACCTCTTCTCTACTGCCTAGCTATTGATACTTCCTTCTCCTCGCCCCTAGCACCGTCGTGCTCTTCTCTGCCCGTCGCACCCTTCCCCGCACGTACCCGGCGCAGATCCATGCCAGGCTCATTCTCTCACATCGTCACTTTCCTTGCCTCTTTGTTGTCGTCCCGCTTAGATCCCCGGGCATACACAGTGTTGGGGCAGCGCTTCCGCATGGCTTCCCTTAGGCCCCAAGGAACGGTCGGGCACTCCTTCTTAATTTATACCTCGGAAACTCCTTCGTCTGCCTTTTCCGCCGTCGGCTTTTTGGTGTTCTCAACGCCTATTTTTCCTTCCTACCTCCATGCACCCAGCATGCATTGCGTCCGGATTCGGCCTCCCCTGCTGCCCCGCCCTTCCCAAAGCTACGTGGAACGTCGGCACCAAACGCCGACGAAGCAGTTGGTTGGCGGGCCTCGCCGGTTTTTGCACAGGGGCCGTACTAATCCTTTCTGTATCGTTCCAATTTTAACGGATGTCCCGAAGGACACGGCCTGGGCAGCGGGGCCAACCAGCCTCGGCTTTCAGCCTATCACCTGGAGTCAAACACAGGTCTGTATTTCAATGGTTCATGGGTGTGCGCACAGAGCTAGGCTCTTGAGTCCCATTTCACATCCACTGTGCCGGGTCCTGCGCCAAACGGGCGCGGCCAGGGTAGCCCCCGCGCAGCCACGAATCACAGCCGGCAATTTGTATTATGGGCAAACCTTCGAATACGACACACTCCACGCGACCCTATATTATCCCCGGTATCGCGTCCTGAAGCGAGACTTGAGTAAAAATAAATAAATAAATAAATAAAGGAACAAAAACGGGAAAAGGGAGGTTCCCGTGGATCGGGCCGCTGCCGCACCTGCTAACAAAATCGAGGGGGATAGCCCTTCCGGGTCGTCAACCCCTCAGGTTTCACTCCATGCTGCTCCGTTGCTGCTGCGCTGACGCCCGCCGGCCTCGATCCCCAAACCTCCGTAGTGTCAGCCCAATGCGTAACCTATAGGGCTAAGCCCAAACCTGGTACGAGTGGGCGCGGATCTCCTAGTAAGAGGTAGCCCACGACCTTTAGGGCCAAGGAACCGCCCCACGCCACTTTTCGGCCCACACTTACACACCGGCCTACCTGTCGTGCCGAGGCTACCCTTCCCTAACCGAATCCATCAGGTCCCATCATCTGGATTACGTGTACGTCCGCCCCGGCTCACTGAACCGTCTGCCGTACCCCGCGGAACCAGAAAACGACACACCCATGGTTAGTTAGTTTAAAACAAACAACTGATACAATGCGGCACGTCGACCAGAATCCATGCCGCGTTTTCCATCGTAATAAAAAAGGAACAAAATCACGCGCGTTTCAAACCTGCGCGCCCACACACTCTCCAACCTGGCCAATCGTCCGGTCGGCGTAGCTCTCAGACATCGCTGCGTCTCACGCCGCATACTCAAACCTTTAGACTTAGCTTATTTCCTATCACTTGCAACCCAGCGCGGATACCCTTGTAAGGGTATTCGCACAGACAATGTCCCCCTGGAATTTCGACAATCACTGATTAACATTTTGAATGGGTACGTAGAGGTATTAAGTGTGCGTGATAACGATATTGGGCTGTCTAACGTGATCGAGCATGTCATCCTTACGGGGGATCATCCGCCCATTAGCAGCGTTCCTTATCGATACTCGCCAGCCCAACGGGCGAACGCGTTTCAACAGATTAAGGAATTCGAAGCTAATGGATGGATCGAACCCGCTATAGGACCTTGGTCGTTTTCTGTGGTTATCGTGCCCAAGAAGGCCGGAGGGATTCGCGTATGCATCGATTATCGGAAACTAAACGATATCGCGATCAAAGATGTATACCCCCTTCCCCGGATTGATGAGTTGTTGGATGCGATTGGGAGTGCTCGATTTTTCAGTAAGTTTGATGTTCGACGTGGGTTTCATCATCTTCTTGTTCGAGAAGAGGATCGTCCGAAAACGACGTTTGTACTGTTCGAAGGTACTTGGCAATGAGTTCGATGTCCAATGGGCATCTGCAATGCTCCCGGAACCTTTCAGCGAGCCATGAACATGGCTTTCCAAAATTTTGTGCGGAAGACACGTCTGGCGCAGAGTATCATCAACTATTGCGTGATTGTGTACATGTATGATATTCTGGTGTATTCGAGTTCCTACGAGGGGCACGTGCAGGCTGGTGCAGCACATCAAATGGACGCTGCATACATTGAGAGATGCCGATTTCAAGGTGGCGTTGGAGAAATGCCAGTTCTTTCTCACCACCATTTCCTTCCTGGGACACGTGGTGACCGACCAGGGACTCAGACCGGAACCGCAAAAGGTGGTCGCCGTGAGAGACGCGCCTGTGCCCACGACTATCACGCAAGTTCGCGCCTTTCTGGGCCTGGCCTCGTACTACCGAAGGTTTATCAAGGGCTTCGCCGCTATTGCAGGTCCCCTCACGAATCTGCTGGAAAAGGATCAGCCGTTGATCTGGACGCCAGAGTGTGATTAAGCGTTCTCGAAACTCAAGGCAACCCTTATTTCGGCTCCGGTCCTTATAAAACCGGATCCTGCGAAGCCTTTTGTCCTCATCACGGACTGGCAGCCGGAGGCAATCTCAGCGATCTTGGCCCAGGTGGGACCAGGCGGACTCGAATGCGTGGTAGAATACGCGTCTAAGTCGGTGTCTGCCTACAAACGCAATTACGCCGCCCCGACAGGAGAATGCTATGCGGTTCTATGGGGAATTAGTCACTTTCGAGCCTATTTGTATGGGCGGAAGTTCACGCTGGTCACCGATCATGAGCCATTATTAGCCCTGAAGAAATCTAAGGATTACTCGGGCATGATCGGGAGATGGGCAACGGTCTTACAGAGCATGGACTTTGACATTCGTCATCGGAAGCACGAGAGGCACGGGAATGCTGACGGGCTGACACGACTGCACCGACCCGAGAAGGTCCTCAAGAGTGAGGAGGTGATTCCGTGGAACAAGTCGAAGGATGAGAACGGACCGCGGTACGGGCAAGTGGAAATTTTGTCGAAGGAGTGAGTGACACGGAACTCTTGCTCTACCCTCTCTGCAGCCCTACTCTCTCCTTTTCTCCTCCCCTCTCATCATGGCTACCCCAGCTGTTTGTGCGTCCCCTTCGTCCCCTGCTGGTTCTGACCCTCTCGCCAGTTCGGCCTTCTTTGCCACCCTTCCTGATAAATTCTGCTATTTTTGTACATGTATTACACGGGTTTATGGGGTGGATTATCATCCTTTTGAGACCGGATTTGTTGAGTGGGTGAATTGTGCCACATGTGTCAATCGTGCACACGATGCATGCGTCCGGTACCGAACGAGTAGTAGGGAATGGAAGTGCCCTCTGTGTAGAACGGACAAACTCCCTACCGAGGTTCGATTCGAGGCTGCCCGAACGGACAGCCCCGAATATGACGAGAAATACCGACGAGCAGAGGTCTGGACGGATAAAATTTTATTAGCTAAATTGGTTGGTTTACCATTGGATCATCTCACTAAGCACGACAGACGTCATACTACCGAGAGATCCCGGGATTACCGATGGATCAACAGTCACCTAGAGAAGCGTAAAACTGACGGATCGGGTTTGTGGTTGACGGTTCCTCATCCATTCCAAAGATATGATTGGACCCGATCTGCTCACGAAGAGCAGACCGCTTACTTCGTGATACGTGTCACGGAGGCAACTATAGATCAGAATCGATGGGTCTGGTCTAATATACGGGACGATGTCAGATACGTAGTCGCCAACTGTCTGGTCTGTGCCGGCGACCGTGCCCCAATATGGGGACCAAACACGATAGTACCGACGGAAGTAGAGCGCCCTTTCCAGCGAGTCAGTATGGACACAACAGATATCGACGTGCCACCTGGCCCAAACCGTTGCGAATATTCCATCCTTTTAGTTTTAATAGATCATTTTTCCAAATACATCGAGGTCTACCCCTGCAAGACCCGTAAGGCCGCAGAGATAGCCACGTACATCGATCGGTTCCTCCATACCCACCTAGATACGAAAGAGATTCTAACCGACAACGGGTCTGAATTCAAAGGCGAGGTAGAGGAATTACTTGCACGACGAGGCATTACGCTTCGACACACGACACCCCACGTTTCCCAGTCGAACGGGTTGGCCAAAAATGCCGATCGAATGATTAAGACTGCCCTCCGTAGAAATCTAACGGCGTGTGACACGCGTCCTTGGCCCGAGATCGTATACCAAATCGTCGGAATACACCGGGCCACCCCTCACGAATCTACGAGGTTCACCCCCTTTCAACTTCGGACCAATAGCCTCCCATGTTTTGATTACTGGGGCAACTCGAAAATTGCCGAAGCCGGGGGTAGAGACACGCGTGCCGCCCTTAAGGCCAAGGCCAAAAGGTACGCCGATTTAATGGAAAGGGCCGTGACGGTCCCGAAGCTAGCCCGAAAGAGAAAGAAAATGACTGATCTAGCCCACGGAAGGCAAGTCCGTAGCTACGAGGCCCGAAATGGAAACGCTGGTCCCCAACATCAATATAAATTAGGGGACCTGGTGTAGGTACATAAATGTGCACGCGACCGAAAAATCGCTCCCAAATTCTTTGGTTGTTTCCACGTTGTCGAGCTCGGACCCAACGATGCCAACACGGTGCGCATTGCGCCCGAAGCAAGCGCCAGCCATAGCTTTGTCCCCATCGTCTGACATACCTTTTGCATTCGTCCCCTCCCTCCCTCTGATCTCCCTCCGTCTCCCTCATCTGCTGAAGAAGAGGACGACGACGATCTAGTTCCCGCCTCGTTCTCTCCCTCCTGCTCCCATCTTTCACCTTCTTCCCTGTCCTCGCCATGAGTTTCATCACAGAGCAAGCTCTTGGGAATCATCTGTTGCAGCCACGTGGCTACATCTCTGAGATCCGGCAAGTTCGTCATCCGCGGCTCAGTCCTAATCTTCGAAGATTGGGGCAATTCTTCGGCACTGAGGGAGCGTGTGCCGCCGCTGCGTTCCGATTCACCGGAAGCCCATAAGCAGTAGTATTGGCGGAGGTGGTAGCGCTCCATCGGCGGGCGGCTCCAGGAACGAGCCACGTCACCACGGTCGCTGCCTTCAGCGGCAATATCACCACGATCAGCCTGCTTCGGCATACCACGATCCTGACCTCGTTGCGGGAGTGGACGCAGCAATTATCAACTGAGTGGCATCACGGTCTTGCACGCCCCGGGAGTAACCTCGTCCCAACGTACGGGACCGACTTCGACGAGCTCCGTACCTCTACGTGCCAGCCGGCAGTAGTGCTCCCCACACTCGTCCCCTTTCAACGCCCCCAATGAACCGTGCCGCTCCCCTCGCTCCTCTCTCCACCTTTGGTCTTCCCTCTCTCTTCCCCACCTTCTGGCAATCCGATCTTCATCCCCGCCTTTCCCTCTTGCTCGAGCCCCTTGCAGTCCCGCTCCTCGATCCCAGGCATTGGCGAGTGTGGCGCGAGACCTTTGTCGATCTGTCTGTGTGCTTGGCCCGAGTGGAGGTGACGTGGACGAGGACCGACGAGCATCAGGCGTGTATTGAGTACCTGGAGCTGCTGATCATCCAGGCTTGGAGAACTGACGTGGAGGCCGATCTTCTCGGTTTTCTTTTCAGATCGGTGCGGCCAGGTCATCGCCAACTAATTGTCCAGGAACTCGTCGTCCCGCTCGCGCAACTGGTCGGCGACCTCTCTCTCGATATTGTTTCGCAAAGTGACGAGAGCCCGGCTCCGCACGTCCGGACATTGGCGCCGTATCTTTAGTGGACTGCGTGCTTGGAGGAACCACCCCGGAATGAAAGCGCCCTGCCATCGCGGCAGGAGTACTTGAAGCTAGCCGGAATCATCAATCTCGCCTTTTATCCAAAGCAAGATTCATCCGAGGAGGCAGGAGATGAAGAAGTCACCGAGGAAGAGGACGACGCCGAAGAAGAAACGCCAGAGGAAGGGAGTTATAGCGAGCACAGCGAAGGGGAGCAGAGTGTAGAGGAAGGAGAAGAAGAAGAAGAAGAAGAAGAAGAAGAAGAAGAAGAAGAAGAAGAAGAAGAAGAAGAAGAGGAGGAAGTCGGATCGGAGTGGGAGGCCTTGCCGGAAGAAGCAGCGCGCACAGGCATGGAGGCGGAAGATCCCGAGGCGGAACGTAGAAAGGAAGAGATCGTCGTCGGGAAAAGCCAGCTGGAGTTCGCCAGCGAGGCGAACCTGCGCATCGTCAACGACTCGACCAGGGATCCAGAGCCCCCCGAGCCCGAAGATGGCGGCCCAGCAACCGCGGCTCCGAGCGCATCGCGACGGAGACGGAGCCGATCCCCCTCCCCCTCCGCTCCAGCCCGTCCCCCAGTTCGTCCACGTACCGATGCGGGGGATCGGCCTTCGTCCCCGGTCATTATCCCGCCGTCCCCTTGATTACCTCACCCTCTGTCAGATCTCTACCCCCGTCACCTTCACTCGCAACCCCTTCCCTTCCAATACCTTCCATCACTTTTTCTCCACCCGCCTCGCCATTACCGTCCATCCTCATCCTTCCCTTCAATGCGCAAACCCCACGTTCTGTTTGCACGTCCTTTTGTTCAGCGTCGCGTGGGAACAGAGCAACGCAGTAGAGGTCTACTGCGTAATCACAGGAACCATCCCCGCATGTCGCCATCACGAGCTGTTCCGCGCGGCACTCTTCTGCACTCTCTCCACCCTCCACCCTGACTACCTTGCTTCCCTCCCTCAAAGCGGCGATCGATTTCCCCGTTTTCATCGGATCTTCCGCTACGAGGACCTTCCAATCACAGAGGAAGGGATGAACCGCTACCTACCCCCACTTCCCCCCAACCCTCCCCGTCGACACCTCTCCATGTATAATGTCTACTTTCCCATTCCCACGCGGCGCTGACACCCGCCACGTGTCACGACGACGGCCCATCCCACCCTCTTCTCGTCTATGACCGTTCTAAGCGTGACGATCAACTGGAGAAATCGCCACGTGTCCCCCAAGCAACACGAATCAGCAGCTTCGCGAAGATCACGCCATTGACGATGACGTCAACTAAAGCTCTGATTCGACGGATTGCGCTGGACTGGGGATGCAGAGCACACGAAGATCTGATGGACCATGATGGTGCCACCTGGACGATCTCCGAAGTTCGAAGGACAGGGGGTTGCACATAACAGGACTGCAGGAAACAGGATCCGAAACAGCACGAGCCGGCATGCTTCACGGAGATCTTGCCACGAATGTTGTCGCCAGCTCATCGTGCTGATCTGAGCTCCTACTTCTTCCTGCTTCTTCGTCTCCTCCTATTTCTTCCTGCTTCTTCGTCTCCTCCTACTTCTTCCTGCTTCTTCATCTCCTCCTACTTCGTCCTGCTTCTTCGTCTCCTCCTACTTCTTCCCGCTTCTTCGTCTCCTCCTCCTTCTTCCTGCTTCTTCGTCTCCTCCTCCTTCTTCCTGCTTCTTCGTCTCCTCCTACTTCTTCCTGCTTCTTCGTCTCCTCCTACTTACTTGGTTCAAGGTCTTTCATGCAATCAGGAGATCGCATAGTTTTGGAACCCCCTGCGCGTCACATATGTGACGAACCACTTCCCGACCCCGTGCTATCTTTTGTACCCCTTGACTCAATTCCCCCTTTTTGCATCATACCGGCCGAACAAAACCCCCATCGCTTTTCTTGATTTCAGGTGCCTTGTTTAAGCCCCCATTTTTCAGAAGTCCATTGGTTCTAAGAATTCTGCTTTTTGTAATTCAGGAAATGCATGGGAAATTACGCGCGCCTTAGCGAGCGCACCGGGAATCGGGCTCGACTGTTAGGAATTCCGGAATAATCGAAACCCGACGTGTCTTTTTCTTTGCATGAATGTTCTCGGTCACGTCGAAGAAAACTCTAGGAATTTTGGGAAGAATACAGATAGGCATAGGACTTTCTTTTCCCGCGTCGACTTTCGCGTGCGGATATGGCGGTTTCAATTTTTGAATTGGTGTAGGACATAGGTAAGCTGTAACTAATTTGGTGCCTTTTTCTCTTGCTGTCGGCACCACACATGCGAGCTTCCTCCTCCTTATTTCCCGCGTTATCTCCCCCCCCCCCCCCCCCCCCCCTCTCTCTCTCTCTCTCTCTC